CCGGCTCCCAGCCCGGGATATCGCTACGCGTGTACTTGCTAAGCAGGGAGACATGGAACACCGGGTGTACCGGCACCGACTTCGGCAGGATTAATTCGTAATCCAGATCTCCGAGCTTTCGCCGCACGGCATATGGTCCGAGGCGCTTTGGACTGAGCTTCCTGCTCGGCTGTTTCAGCTTAAGGTTCCGAGCGTCAAGCCAGACCTTGTCCCCCGGCGCAAAGACCGGTGCCTCCTGCACGTGCTTGTCGTAGTACACCTTCATGCGCTCGGCTGATAGCTCAAGCGCAGAGCGCGTATCGTCGCGAATCTCCTTCAGGATCTTGAGCCGATCAGCGGCCACAGGCATCGCAGACATCGGATTGATCCGAACCTGGATCTCAGGATTGTACCCTTGATGCAGGAAGAAAGGGGAATACCCGGTCGCGGAATGAACTCGGTTGTTCAGTGCGAATTCCGCGAGCGGCAACTGCTTCGCCCAATCATCCTGCCTGTGGCTTGTGAAGGCACGCAGGTACTGCTCGATCTCCTGATTCCAGCGCTCAGTCTGGCCATCTGTCTGGGGGTGGAACGCTGTGGACAGCGCCGGCTCGATCCCAAGTCCTCTGTACACCGCATGGAGATATTTCGAAGCGAACTGGGGACCTCGGTCTGATATGACCTTGGCCGGGGCCCCATGATGCTTGAACACATCGCGGATGTACAGGTCTGCCGCACCTTCTGCCGTCAGGGTCTCATGACAGGCCGAGAAGTGGACCTGCTTCGTGAAGCGGTCGGCGGTGACCAGGATTGAGTCAAATCCATCAGACTTCGGCAAGCCGACGATCATATCAGTTGTGATGATCTGCCACGGGCGCTCGGGGATCTCGTTCGGCTTCAGCGGACCCTGAGGCTTGGCTGGGAATGTCTTGGTACGGTTGCACACGTCGCAGGTGCTTACGTACTCATTGACGAATTTGGACATCCCAGGCCACCAGTAATTCCGCGACACGAGCTCCAGGGTTTTGGCACGACCACCATGACCGGCGATCGGCGAGTCGTGGTGGATCTTGACGATATCCCGCCGGAGCTCCGCGTCCTTTGGGACGTACACACATCCGCGGAACAGCAGGAGCCCTTGTTCGGCATTCCACTCCTCAAAACCCCTTTGCAGCCGGGGCGGCCCGAGGTCCTGTACCTTTTCAAGGGCCTCGGCCACCTCCCGATCCTTCTCCGAACATTCCCTGATGCGCTTCAGAAGCAACTGATCGGCCGTCACCGAGGCGTGACCGCGCCTGGCGGAGGCGATGCGGAAGCGCTCTGGCTTGAGAACCACCTGATCAGTGTTATCGTCCTCATCGCCGATCTGGTGGTCTGATCGACGCGACAGGGCATCAGCCTTTCCATTGGATGTCCCGGCCTTGTGCGTGATGCGGAAGTCGAAGCGAGCTAGGAACAGCGACCATCGCGCTTGACGGCGCGTGAGGTGCTGGGAGGTACGCCAGTACTCGAGGTTCTTATGATCAGTCACGATCTCGAACTGATTGGGTAACCCCTCAAGGTAGTGGCGCCAATCGTCCAGCGCTTCAATGATCGCGAGCATCTCCTTATCGTAGATCTCGTAGTTCCGCTGTGCCGGATCCATCGCATGGGATCTGAAGGCGATGGGATGCCATTTTCCGTCATCCTGCTTCTGCATTAATACGCCGCCAGTGGCGTAACCCGAGGCATCAACCTCAATGCGCGTCTCTCGATTAGGGTCGTACAGCGCCAAGACTGGAGTCGTCGCGAAGAGCCGCTTGAGCTCATCGAAAGCGTGCTGCTCTTCCTCGCCCCAATGCCATGGGTCGTTCCCTGTGAGTCGGTCGAGTGGTCGCGAGATCTTAGCAAAGTCCTTAATAAAGCGGCGGTAGAAGTTGGAGAACCCCCGGAACTTCTGGACATCTTTTTTGTTCCGGGGTACCGGCCACTCATTAATTCCTTTCAGCTTCGCGGGATCCATCGCTACCTCATCGCCACCGAACACATAGCCGACATAGTCGACCTTGGGAACGTCCCACTCGCATTTCTCAGGCTTCAGGAACAGATCGTTGTCCTGAAGGCGACGAAGAACCTCGCGTGTGACTTTTTCATGCTCCTCCTTGTTGGTAGAGAAGATGAGTATGTCATCAAGGTATACGAGGATCTTG